ACCTGAACAGATGGTTACACAGCACTGGTTGTTATGTGCTTGTTTTTCATCTTGTGCTTTCTTTTCTTAAGAGGAGGCTGCTGTGCACACATCTGTATTTATCTTTCAGCCGCATTCCTGGTTCATAAGCAGCAAATCATCATTAGCTTATACTTCAAGTGCCCTATGGCTGTAGTTTCATTTAATCTCCACAAGAGACCCAATCAAGTGCTGCTACTGTTCAAGGGTTCAAACTAGAAACTCCACAGTTATCACTTTTTGCTGCAATTAGGCAAAAAAATTTTCCCTTCTGCTACCCAACTGCTCAGCAGGCTTTATTTTGGCTTCCAAGTGAATTTTACTTTGTAATTTATACAAATGGTTAGAAAACATTTCCTATGAAGAAATGAGTTGTAATTTTCTTCATTCCTCATTCCTTGTATTATTTCTACAAACACTGGATATGGGCTAGAATCCAGTAAATTAACTTCATTAATCCCATGAATAAAACCTCCTTCACAGCTTCACTGTTTCTGCTCAGTCTGTAGCAAACAAGCTAAGTGAGTCATTTTCAATACTCCTGGGTCTTTACTCATCCTCTCCCATAGGTTTCTATCAGATTTCATTTCATACTACTTGAGATCTAAGCTTTCACAACAAATGTTCTTTAGCTCTGCTGTGGACTATACGTGGACAACAAGCTCTCCTTGCTTTGGAGTTTGTTTCGAGCTACTGCTTTGCCTTCCCATACATTTCCCTAAGGGTGTGCTTTGCTTAGACATATTCAATCTTTGTCTCCTGGCACTGCACTTAAGAATTGTTTATGCCTTCACAGTGACACAGATGCCCCTGGGCTTTGGTCACACACGCCTTGTTGTTTACTGTTCCTTCTTTCTAATTAGCACCATGCCTTCTTTCCTTTCCCTGCTCTTAAAGTCACTGCTCACTGCTTACTATGTTCAAAGACCTAAGTTCCCTCTCCAAAGGTATTCTAACACTGAGAATTCTTACACTGGCAGCTTTGTTAGGAGCAGCTAAACGTCTGAGCTGAAGATGCTGGTAGTGCTTTGTATGTACTCTCAACAGCAGCACACTGGGAGCAAAGTCTTGGATTTTAGGCCACATACTCTTTAAGAGTGCGCACGAAGCGTGGGCCTAATATTTACAGCAACAATGTCTTTATGTTTGTTAAAGCCTGGATTCCACAACAGTGTAGTCAAAATGCAGACACCCAAGAAACCTAAATTTCCCCCCTTAGACCTGGTGACACAATAGTAGCACAACACTACCTGATGTGAAGCCAATTATTCTGAGCTGATCCCATGTAGAGGAAATGTTTCACTGATAAATACCAATGTAGTAACAAGGAGTGTGATATACTGCATACATACTCTCAAAAACAAAATAACCCCATAACATTCTGCATAGAGAACATAGCTCAGACTGATTAACATGATATTTACAAATATTTCCTAGCACTGGCCACTGAGAACCTAGTGCATACAGCTCACCAGCAGCCAGCAGTCTTGGACCCCCATCCTGGTTGTAAATACCAGTCTCTAGTAAAGGAACCAGGGCTCTCTGGAGAATCGGTTGACTGCTGGCTGGGACAAATACAGGACAAGATGAGTTCAGGATAGGGTATATTGGGAAGGCAGGGACTCCCAGTGGCTATAGCCAGGATATGCAGAACAACAAAATCAATGCTAGTCATACTATAACTTGATACTGGGAATAGCCTAAGGCATAGGCCTCTGAGTCTATGCTGAGACTGATGGAGTATATGAGTGAGAGAGAAGAGAGAGCTCATTTCTGTAGAACCCTAATTTTTAAACACAGGAAATACAAATCACCTGCACAATGTCCGGGTTATACTATTACAGTCAAACTCACTGTCTAGTGTTAAATTTATTGAAAGCATGAGAAACAGAGAATCTGCAGTGCATGGTAAACAGCCCTGCTGAGCTCCTGGAAGATGACGTAGAGGCCCTAGAATGAATGCCCCACCTGTAAGCATGTTCTTGCTTCCTGGACAGAAAGATAGCTCTGTAGTTAAAATCACAGGCTGCTCTTGCAGAGGACCAAGGTTTGATTCCCAGTACCCATATGCCACCTCACAACCACCTGTAATTCCAGCTCCAGCCGATCAAATGCCATCTTTTGACCACTGAAGGTACCAGGCAGAGGCATGGTACATGAACATACAGACAAGCCAAGAACCCCACCCCCAAGATTAAAAACAAAAAAAAGAATGTTCTTAAGCCACTTCAGAGAGCCAATGCGGTACAGTGCAGTCCTGGGTCACAAACTGCCAGCCCTACCTCTGGAGGGAATGGGTCTTACATAATCGAGTCCCAATAAACACTGTAGATGGCACGCTTCAGGTGAGTTATTCTGGTCATCAGCATTGGAAAAAGTTTACACTGTCCTCATCACATGGATTCTGCTCTTGGTCTGACCCTATTCTTTCACTGCACAACACTGAGTACAAGAGCTTTCAGCGGGCTGTGAGCTCCAGAGAATGACCAAAGCTAAGAGCACATTTGGGGGCACACAATTGTAAAATATCTACGTCAAATTAAACATTTATAACTATAAGGAAAAAATAGGAAATTTATAGAAAGTAGAAAGCTGGTCAACAGCACCTTTGCTAGTAATCCATGTTAATACACTTGTATCCAGAACAATATACAAGGAAGGCACATTATCTCCAGCTCTAGAAGACCTGAACCTCAGTCTAATCAAAAGAAGGCTTTGCATGGAAATGCACATGGAAAGTCTACAGGGTGAGAATCTGTATTCTCAAAAGCATCATGATAGGCAAGGGAGGGCTGAGGCCTTGACATGGCTGGAGACCAGGAAGACATGACAACAGGGCCCAGGTGTGAGTCTGGTTTGGCCCAGGCAGAGAAGGGACCTGGTGAACTCCTGCTGAGAGTGAATCTCCCATGACTGTGACCACAGAAGCTGTCAGTAACAGATTCACCAGGGTTATGAAGAGGCTGTAAGGAATGGCTAGGTGACATGTTACAGCTGTGAATACTATGTATTGTACACAGCCACCTGAGGCAGAAAGGGTCTGTAAGTCTGAAGTTACAGTACATGTTAGAAGCAAGGTTGGCTCCAAGGACTATTTAAAGGTAGGGACTCTACATGGAATCCCTCCTGGCTGGTCACAGGATTTCAAGAGTGTTTTTTTTTTTTTTTTTTTTTTTAAGAAAGACAGGTAGGTGGCAAAAGGTAATCCTTTACTCTGGCAGGGACATTTATTTTCTTCTCACCCACAAAAGCCAGATACTTTGCAGATGCCACAATTCTATTTCCCTTCAAAATAAATTCTATAAAACATTTAAAATGAGTACATGAGATGCCGTGGTCATCACAGAGGGTGGCCAGAAACTAATCACAGAAACCTGATGCAGACTTAAGCATCCAGACTTTTTCCTATCAATTATACCTCAGGGTGAATGACAAGAAGCCAGTCTTTAGACAAATGTCCTAGCCAATAAGAGAAAGTAGAAGTATTATCACCTTCTCTGCAGACCTCAGGGATCTAATGGTGCTAGGTGCTGGTCACTAATGGCTGCTATGAAACAGTTCAGGGGACTCTACAAAGAACCCAGCACCACCTCAAAGAGCTTTACTAACCTTCCTCTCCTCAAAACAATCAATCAGATCAAGCCTCAAGATGTAATAACTAATTTAGGGAAACACACAATGAAAAATGTGCTCAACTACACCAGTGAGGCAAGCTGCACAAGCCACCTGAGCACACAGGACAGACCAACCCACACAACATTCCACCAAACATGGGAAAGAGTTTGAGAGAGAACGAGAGAGCACTATGTCTCTAAACCAGATAGCTGGCTGCCAAGAACAGCCTCTGACTCCTCTGTGGATTCTGATGCCAAAAGGTGGCAGTGCAGGTATAATAACATTTAGACAACTGAAAACCTCAACATTTGTCAAATACTGAAATTAAGGAAAAACTGTCAGTTTTAAAAGAGAACTTTATCCTTAATTTTTAAAATGTCATACAGCAAATGATAACCAAATAACTATCTCTGTAGATACTGCCTCAGTGTGGTGAGTGCAATAAAGTCTGTATGAACCTGAAGTCTGAAGCACTCCTTTTCCTCCAACACAATTATTATTGGGCTCAATAAAGGCATCTGAATTCCTTAATGAATTTGGTTTGCATGTGGCAATTTAATTCTACAGCACTACACTTCTCCTTTCTCTTATTTTCCCTGCAAATTTTACACTACAAGCTTCAGATTCTTGAGCCACAGAACTGTCCTTTCTAAGTCACAAATGACACTGACAAGTATCCAGGGAATCATCTGCTTGAAGAAAACTTATTTTAAATCGCAGCTATGACATAAGAACAGAAAGACTAAAATTGCACCAAGTAAGTTTAAGTAAATGTAAAGATGAATGATGCCTGAGAACACCAATGAGCCCTGCCGACATTTAACAGGATTTGCCAGTCTCCTTTCAGCACTGTGCCTTCAATTCCACATACTTAACTGGCCCACGGAATACTGTTTTGTTTCATTTTCTCATTCGAACTGCTGCTCTTGAAGGTTCAGGCTGATTCAACCAGACACTGCTGTGTATAGGCTGCCTTCACATAGCTGTCCTATAGACAATGGCCGTCCTAGGCCATGGTTTCCACCATAAAACCAGGCCCAACTTAGCAGCCAACTACCCTCCAGCTTTCCTGACACCTGGCAGGCTTGGCTCATTTATTCAGTAGCCTTGCAGAACTGACATTGTGTTTGAACCCTTGACTTTTCCTAGAGTCTCTTTAGGCCTGTCAAGCATGTTCAGACATGCTGAGGGTTTGGTTACTATCTGTTCTAAGTTTACATAAAGCTAAAGAGTTGATAAAAGGGCATTTTGAACATAGAAGACAAAGAACACAGAAACAACTGTTCTGTGTGCTTCCTCTGGCTGTGACTGTGACACAAGAGACCTTAGTCCCTTGTCCACCAGCACTGCAGCACACTCGGCCTCACCTTCATCGCTCCCAGTTCCTTTCTGCTTTTTTTTCTTGACTAGTTGAATGGCTCGGTAATCAGTTCTTGCTGAGCCCCCACTTTCCTGGGACCAAAGAAAAGTGTGTCAGTTGCTTGATCTAAATAGCAGAGGAGGGGTAGCAAGGGGACTAGAGAACCATCCTAAGCCTGCCTCGGGAATGTATCAGAGCTCCAGGAATCGGTCACCAGCAAGGCACTCGGGAAATCACATGCTTGATTGTTAGCACAGGAAAATGAACATAGCTTCATCATCTGGAAAAGTGAAGGTCGTTCCTCCAAGGTCTAAACACACTTTAAATATTTTAGAGAGGGGCTGCTAAGATCTGCATACTGTCCTGTTCCCTAAAACATGAGTCTTCTTGATGCCAGGGTTATGTCACAGCAGCCCTGGACAGTGTTGGCAGCAAGTGCTGCACTGTCATATACCAATATAGAGAAGTGTCACTGAGTTCAGCAAATTTACTGAGGTGCCAGAGAAACAGTATTCAAATAGAATATATAAAATTTGTGAACACTTAATAAAAATGTTTCATTCTTAAAACTAAAAGGAGCAAAGGAAACCAGTCTCTACAGCTCATGGCATGCAGAAATCCATTCATAACACCATTCCCACTCAGAGAAGCAAGGGAGCCCAATGCCACACAGCTAGCTAGCAAGAGAATAAACCAGGGGCAAGCCCAAGCTCTGCTGGCTCTTCCACCTCCACCCACAGCTAGGCTCTGAGACACAGGAAGGCATGGAGTGCCAGGGACAGACTTCCCACACACTCTGAGCTGTGGTTACCTCCAGTCCCTGTCTAGTCACCTGCTGCTTTTAGCAACCGCTGTGGCAGCCTAAACAGATGCTGGCAAGTGTAGCTCTGCCACCAACAAGCCAGACACCAGAAATGGAAAGACTGTGCTGCTCACACATTGAGAGAAATACAAGTCGGCTCCAGTAAGTTGGTTACTAGATACCCTCACGATTGTAGTAAGGTAAGATGCATGAATTTTAACATAATAAATGTCGAACCAAAATTCAACTAGCATTACAGAGAAGCCTATATGATCATTTCCATCATAGACTGAGGAAAGTCAGACTCTCTCTAGAAATCTTTAAGTTACTTTAAATTAGATTATATTAAAGATATAATTGATATAAATATAGAATACCATAACTGTCCAGCCTCAAAACTAGAGTATTGTTATAATCCTTCAAGAATGAAGGCTCAGGAACCACTGTTTAATTCTAATAAAAATATCCTGACATAGCTTTTATGTTCTCACTGAACTGTTAAGGTGATTGATGGAAACACTGTTCTTCTAGGACTCATCACTATGTGAAAAGCACAAAGGTGAACATTTCAATAGTAGGAAATGCCTCAAGTTTTCTCAAGAAAACTATAAAATCACAGAACTCAAAAGAACCTTAGAAACCATATAGCCCAAACCCCTTATTTTAGAAATAACTGAGGATTTAAGGCTCAGATAGGTTAAGTGATTTGCACAAAGCTGCAAGAATGTCAATTCCAGAGTCAAGGTCAAAGTCAGGCTTCCAGACTATTGCCCAGGCTCCATTTGTCCTTCTGTACACCAGAAAGAACCATCTGCATAGACAGGATTCATCCCAAACATGATCCAAGGTGCATTAGGGGAGTGAGCTAGTGGTGGTGATGGAACAGAGTGCTTCATACCAAGTAGAGGCTGCCGGTGCCAGCACTGAGCTCTGAGTCCTTGTGAGCCCCTGGATTCTCTGCAGAGCTGGACAGCATAGACTGAGATGGCCTGTGACTTTCTTCCTGCCCCTGGACCACATCTGGGACAGGAGGCAAGTCTTGTTCCACCTTTATTGGAACCAGCAGATCTGGGACTCTGGCAGTCTCTTGGGCAGTGCCTGAAGAGGTTGGTGCGGTGTCAAGGGCTGTCAAGTTATTGCTGGGAGTCAAAGCTGGTGGGTCTTGACCCAAGTTCCTCACAGGCAGAGCTACCAAACAGCCTACTGTTCCTGTGCTCATGGCCTGAGAATCATCTGTACTGAAGCTGCCTGGCTGGAGAACTGTGGCTGATGTCCCAAGAACAACAGGACTGTCCAAACTTGGAGGCATATCACTGGGGGCCACCAGAACCAGGGGGTCCATGGGCCCTAAGGAGTTATTATTAGATGGGAGAGTCCCTCCCAGAGAGGAGCTCACAGAAGTGACATCAATAGTAAGGATCCCAGAGTTCAAAGCTTCATCCGACCCAGCTGCCGAATTGCCACTGTTAGCAGGTGTGTCAGAAAAAAGTGCTGCTAGATCTATGTTGGTGAGCTCGCTTTGGCCCGGGCTATTCAGTTCACTGCTGGGTGTGAGAGAACTTGGAGCTTCCAGCTGAGGTACAAGATCTGCAAAAGCAATAGATAGTTCAGTTACTATCTTGCCAGACTCAGAAATTGTCTTTCTGCTTGAGATACTAGCAGGCACTCTTTGAAGCAACACTGACTACCCTTTCACTAGACCTTGCCACCAGGGTAAAAAAAAGACCTAATGCAGACATACAGTGAATAGCAGACACCAAAGGAAGGGCTGGCTTGATAGCAGGTACTTTATCTAATACTTCACGTCCTCAGGTTGTCTTTGGGTTTCAAAGCCTGCCCTTCCTCCTGTGCTGCACTAGCCAAGGTTCCAATCTACCCCACAGCATGAAGCCTCTGTAAGTCAGCTCTGAGACAAACTCAGGCTCTGGGGTTATTTTTGAAATTAGCTTCAGTCATCTCCAGTCACAGCAAACTCTGTGCCCAGTTTCACATCTACTGTCATCCACAAAATGTTTTGAGGACTCTGTGGTTAATCAAGGAGTAAAAATTGCTGTCTGGGCTGGGTTGAAAACTTAGGTTTAGGCACATGCATGGATCTCTACAGCTTCTGAATTGCCCCAGCGCCTGAAGCAGAGGAAGGGGCTCTCAGCTCTGTTTCTTCACATCAACTACTTGTTAACCACAAATGAATACTTTCTAAGCATGAAGGTCAGGTCAGAGTACATACTGCACTTTTTTGTTGTTGTTTTTGTTTTCAGGAGAGTTTCTCTGCGTAGCAGACAAGTCTAGTCTCGAACTCACAGAGATCCACCTGTTTCTGCTTCCCAAGTTCTAGGATTAAAGGCATGTGCCACCATGCATTTTCAGCTCAAGCCTACAAAAGACATCCTGTCTAGACGTAAGAACAGAAACCAAACCAGAATCTCTCTTTAGTTGTCGTACAGAAAGTTTCTTCAACAGTATCTTAGTACCAATACAACATTCTGAGAGGAAATGTGAGCGATTCTTTCTAGAAAGTGAAACAGGAAACCCATTTCTTTCTCAAAATTAAAAACAAGCAAACAAGCATACATCTTGATGACTGTTCTCTGTGAAGAGTGATTTTGATGGAAGAAAGATGCCAACTTACTCAAAAATCTCCCATCTAACATTTTATTAATTCCACAAATGTCAACTACAGAATTGGTATAAATGAATATACAAAAGAAAAAGCATTGACTAAACACAAGCACATAGTGCTAATGGTTAGGATTGTGGCTTTAGATGACAGATAGATCTTAGAAAAGATCCTGGCTTGAGTACTTCCTCTTAGTGTGACCTTGGCAAGTCTTCCTGCAGCAGCAAAACCAAGGTGAAGTGAACTAAAACACAAGCTGGCAGTCATCAGACAGTCCTGAGTGCCTGGTCCTCTACTGACAATGGGCAGGATGAATGGTACATGAGTCAGTCAACGTATACCATAAACACAGGCCTGCTAAGAGGGCCTCTCACCCATCCAGAGTTTAGGGAAAACTCCTGTGAAGTAACCTAAATTAGCTTAGGGGAAGGGAAATACAGTTTAAGAGGGAATGTCAGGCTGAGGCCTGTGAGGTCACACAGCACTGGCTCGGAGTTGGAGAGAGGGATAGTGTTTGATCACCTCTGGAAAGAAAGGTGACACCCTCTGACATTAAGTAGGAGATACACCCTGCCTAAGAGCCAAAGGACAGATCCCAAGAGAAGAAACCAGATAAAGAACACACAGCATCACCAGCTCCAGCTGCTCAGAGCTTTGCTGCCTGAGATCCAAAGGACAGATCCCAAGAGAAGAAACCAGATAAAGAACACACAGCGTCACCAGCTCCAGCTGCTCAGAGCTTTGCAACAGATGCTTTAACCAAGAGTGGCTCATAGTATCACTTTCCTTCTTTTCACAGCTCAGGGAAACATGGCTCAAACATCTGTCCCTGCTTAGGATTCCAACTGGGAAATGCTAAATGGTATTATCTGCTTCACAGGTCACAGTGAGGGGGAGCTGGTTAGAAACATGTATGGCTTCCACTAAGTTACCTTACCAGGAGCAAAACCTACCTTGTCCCAGAGAGAACGGTCTCTGTGAATGGACTAGAGAGAGGCAGTCACTGCTGCCTCTCCTACATTCTTGATGTCCTGCCTACAATTACAGGCAAGACCTAGAGGGGCAGGTTTCTAAGTGCTGTACCACAGATGGTGAATGCTCAGCATCCTCCCCTCCACATGCCCTTGACCACTATCATGATGCCTCTCTCATACCCCAGCCCATTCCTGAGACACAGCTCTGCTATAGGCTTGGAGAGTTTCCTGCCCACCTTTAGAACACAGTCCTCTGTGTAGGATCTGCTGTATCCTAAGACCAGGAAGAAGACAGAGGATGCAATGCTCAGGAACAGTGGACATGGTAAGACAGACTCAGGGACCAGTTGCAGACAGGCTTAGAGCACATGTGTCAGGGAAGCCTGCAAAGTGATAGCACATTTGAAGGAAGAACTACACAGGCAAGAGCAAAACAGGCACAAGCGGGCTGCGGTAAGATGAGAGTAGCAGGAAAGGAGAGAGCACAGAGGTCCCTTAGCTATGTGGAAAACTCACAGCTCCAATATCATGGCTTATATATGGTTGAGAGGGAAAAGGAGAGGCACCATTCCTGTTCTCTCATGCTCAGGCATATACAATTTTCCAACTCTCAGGGGCCACAGTCACAGACCTTGGCGTCGGCTGTGCTGCCGCACCATGTGTGCCTTCATACTGTGCTTAGAGGTGAAGAGTCGGTTACAGCTGGATACTGGGCAGCGGCTTTTTTGGAGCACCCATGTCTTGCAGGTGTTTCTTAGAATGAATGTACAGACTGCTTCGAGCTGAGAACCTGGCACAGCATCCTGGAACACAGAGGAAAACCAGAGTTACTTCCTAACAACACCAGAAATGACACTACGGACTGGTAAGACAACTCCAAAGGGAGGTGTTTGCCAGCCAAGTCTGGTGACCTGAGTTTGATTTCTAGAACTCACATAAGATGGAAGGAAGGAACCAACTCTACAAAGCTGTCCTCTGACCTCCACATATACACTGTGACCCACTGTGCCACATGAACTTTCCCCAAAATAGTAATTACAAATCATGTACTGACTAGTTTATACTGACTAGTTCTAGCTTGATATAAGCTAGAAGAATCTGAGAGGAGGGATCCGCATGAGAAAATACCTCCATAAGATCAGGCTATAGGTAAGTCTGTTGAGCATTTTCTTAATTAGTGATTGAGGTGGGAGGGCCCAGACCATTGTGGGTGGTATCACTCTGGGCTGGTGATTCTGGGTTCTATAAGACAGCAGGTTGAACAAAGCCATGAGGAGCAGCCAGTAAGCAGCACTCCTCTAAGGCCTCTTCATTAGCTCCTGCCTTCAGGTTCCCACCCAACTAGAGCTCTTTCCTTGGCTTCCTTCAATAGACTATAATTGAGGATATGTAAGCCAAATAAAGCGTTTCACCCCCAAATTGCTTTTGGCCATGGTGTTTCATCACAGCTATAGTAACCCTTAACTAAGATAGAAATTAAGTCAATGGGGAATTACAACCCAATTCATGCAGGATGACAAAGATTCAGATCTTTTGAGAATAAAGGTATGGGTCACTTAAGGATTAAAAATAAATTAAAACAACCACCAAAACAAGACGTGATGAGGTGCTTGTTGAGGGTGGAGGAAATACAGAACAGGTAGTAGAGGAAGGTAGCTACACTACCAACTAAGGCCACATGACCAGTTGTGAAACCAAGGATGATAATTGACATGTGTTTCTGTCACATTTTGTTAAGAATGTATTGTAAAGATATTTGTGTTTTCTCCTAGATTTCTTTATTATGTTATGTAACACCAATTTAGGTGTCAGTGGCTATCATATATAAGTTACAAAGTATTAGAAGAATGTCCCTCAAGGGACACTGTCACCTATTCTAAGATATATAATGCATTTGCAGTTTCAGTGGGATAGTTACATCATGTTATGAGTAATTATAGTTATTGGTTTCATTTGGAAATGAAACCTGTCTTAATGACATAAGGGGATATGATTTGTATCAAGTTGACAAGGAATGAATTTGTAGATGGCTAACCTTGGTTGTCACCTTAACTACATTTGTGAGGGATTTTTCTTGATTTGAGGTCAGAAGATCCACCCTAAATCTGGGCCACACCTTCTGGTGGCAGCCTATATAAAAGGACACAGAAGATGAAAGCTTTTGTTTTTTTGCCTGTTTGCCCTCACTGTCAAGCTTATCTATCCTGTTGCCAAGGCATCCTTCACTGGCATTAGAGTCGTCTATGAGATTCCAATGTATACTGATAACTGGTTGAGACATCCAGCCTTGTGGACTGAACAATTGGATTCTTGAACTTTCCTTTGGGAGACAGCCACTGTTGGGACTAGTTGGACTATAAAGCCACTCTTAACAACCCCCCTTTTAATATATATACATTCATTCTATCAGTTCTGTTTCTCTAGAGAACTGTGATTAATACAAAGCATGATACTATGTTCCCAAGCACTGGCCACTGACAAGTGACATATACCAAATACCCTAAGAGGAGCACAAGGGATAAATGAAAAATTATAAAGGAATATGCAGACCATGAGTTAGTCTAAGAAATGTGAACTGATAAAGCACATTCTATCTGTTTCTTCCATCCACTGCTCAGAGTTGAGTCAAAACAACTCCTCCAGTCAAAGCTCAGTTGCAAAAATGTATATTAAGCACACCTCTATTAAGCTATTACGAGAGAAAAAAGAAAATAATCCTACAGTTCTAGGGGTTGGAACTATCTCAACGCATGACCAAAGATAACCCCACCCATTTCACCTCTGTGCAGCCCAGAAACTGAGCAAATGTCTCTAGGTCATAGGTAGAGCTGGAGTCAGAGACAGTATTCCCCAGCTTACACACTCAACTGACTCACACATCAGATCTGGATTCAAGTGCTGGAGGGAACATACATTTACAACGCCTTCCCTTTATCTCTGTCTGCCTGTCATGTTGGTGCTCTGCCCTTCACAGACCCAGAAAGGGGAGACAGTTGAGTTCAGAGGCTTGTGTGTGGCTGAGCACGTAGGTAGTAAGTCAGAGTAAAAGGCAGAACAAGATCAGTGCTGAAACAATGAATGCTGTAGAAACAGCTTCTGGGAAGACTGAGACACAGATGCTGAGCAAGGGGCAGTGGGTGACTCTGCCCCTGCTAAGTGATGGGACCAGGTCTTGGAGCAGAAACGTGTAAAGGTCCGGGGAGTTGCCCAGCTAAGGTTGTCTGCATGCAACATTCATTTGCTCTATGGCCACAGATAAGTTTCTGACCGTTCACAGAGCAGTTTTTCCTTTCTGCAAAATGAGATGCATGAGGCCAAGATAAAGAACAGACTTAGAGCTTGCCTAGAAACATGTCTGAAGTTTCATGTGAGAATGAATTTAAGTCCCAAACTGCACAGATATAGACAGGGCCCTTTCTCATATGACTATTTTTCCTTAAATAGCCCACTTGGAGGTCCTGGGCACTGGCACTGCCCACCACCCTGAGGATGTGCCTGATGTAACTCTCAACACAGGGCCTGGTTCACTTAGTCTAGTAAGAAGGGGTTCTGGAGTCTCTGCACAAGACTCCACTACCCTGTGCAAAGGCTTTGATCAAATCCTGCACTCTTCCCTCTGCTAAGGCTCATTATCTTAATGGCTCAAAGCTCCTTGAGAACTTCAAAAACAAATGCTCTGCCTTTAACAGTGAACTTCTGCCCTTTCTTCTTCTGCCAATCACCCTGAAAAGAGCTGTGAAAACAAGCAGTCCCCTGCCTCCTGCTCAGCAGCTCTCCCTGAGTTACCCTACTAAAACTTGCCAACTAACACCAAACAATACTAATGGGCCTCAGCATTCTGAGTGGGTCTTCCAAAGACACCCTTCTGGCTTAGCACCCTGCCTTTAAGAGCTCCTACCACGGCAGCCTCTCCACCTAGGTGTAGAAAATAGAAAACAAACTTCCACCTAATAGAAATCACTACAATCATAAGAATGGACAAGTATCAATGCTTTTTGCAAGATTTAAAAAGTTTAATTAGTTGAATCTTTGCAAGAACCCTATGAGATTTTGTTTACTTTATGGATAAGGAAAAGAAGCACAGAGCTTAACCTGCTCATCTCAGGACTTCTCTGAGCCATGCAAGTGGCAGACTCAGGACTTGAACCCAGAATTCACACTTTCAATAGCTTGAGAATTCCATCTACTCACAGGGTTTAAGCAAGGACCTGCATAGCACCTGCTTCACTTGTAGTCCAGCCTGCTCTTTAAGCCAGCAGCAGACACACAGTCTACTTTCCGAGTACCTTAAGTCAAGCTGAAGGTACATTTTATGTACCAAATGACCAAACTCTTCAACATCCCAATCTCAGTGAGACACTCATTCAACTACTGTGCCTCCCTCATCCAGGTCCAAGTCATTACAGCTTTCTCTGACTTCTATCTTTGCTGCTGATGGGATTCTCTTTCTTTGTGCTGCCAGCCTCCAGTCCAGGATGACTGCAGTGCCTCTACAAAGACCAGACTGGGCTTTGGCTCCAAGTGAACTGTTCTTTCCCTGGGAGTCTCCCTGCTGGTCTTTCTGCTTCCAACAGCCATTCTTTAATGCCTGGCTAGCTCTTCCTCCTTAAGCTGACCAGGACATTCACTCTCCCAAGAAGAGTATGGCTGAAGTCCAGACATCTTACAACAGCTTGTATGTTCCTATTTACCTGTCCACACTCATAGCTGGTATGCTGATAAGTGGAAGAACTTGATCATACCATTTCTATTATGTTCAGTACATTGTAAGAACTGGTGTTGGCGTTAAGTTGTCTTTATTACCCTTCTCCAGCTAAGATAACTAAAGTCTACAAATTTAGCTGAGGCCATCAATTTAGGGCACATCTGACTTACCCTGGATTGCTCTTTCCTTAGTGAACAGCAGATTGACATGAATGGGTCATACAAATTTTTGGCAAATAAATCACACTCAACATTTTAAAGAAAAAAGCCTGTACTTTTATGTAAACTTTACATAAGCTAGAGTCTTTTTGAAAGAGGGAACTTCAATTGAGAAAAATGGCTCTGTAAGATTGGTCTGTGGGCATATCTACGAGACATTTTCTTGATTGATGTGGCAGGGTCAACCTCACTATGGGGGATGGTACTACTGGGCCTGTAGTCCTGGGTGGGTGCTCTAAGAAAGCCAGCTAAGCAAGTCAGGGAAACAAACCAGTAACCAGAACTCCCCCATGGGCTCTATACCAACTCCTGTCTCCAAGTCCCTTCTTTGAGTTCCTGCCCTAACTTTATTTGATGATGGACTGTAACATAGAAGTATAAGCTGAAATACACCCTATGTTGCTTTTGGTCATAGTGTTTTATCACAGCAATAGAAACCCTAACTAAGACAAAGCCTCATGAATACACTTATAAAGAAATAAGACAAGACTTTATTTTGTCGAGGTACAATAAGATTAGTTACCTGTCATTTAGAGAGCCCAAGCTATGTGCCAGACTACATATAAAGATGGATTCTTCTCACTTCACCTGTTCTTCATAATCACCAAGTAAAACAGACAGTGGAACTAGAGCCTCAGATTGAGTGCCAGGGCAGAAGGCAACCCTGTACTTCTTCCAACACACTTCTAAGACAGTGTGCATATATTTTCAACCAACCAAATAAATACAGTGCTGTAACTGGCAACTATCTTAGTGCTTCTGCAACTCAAACTTATAGCTAAACTTGAGTGTTGGTGTGGCATTTTGTCTACAGCTAAAGAAACATTTTAAATGCTACCTTCCACAGGGCACTCGAATGGCTTCGTCCCCAGGTGAGTGATACTGTGGCCCTTCAAATGCTCTGCTCTAGTGAATGACTTTCCACAGCCTTCCACAGGGCAAGTGAACCTCCGGTCATCGTCATGTTTCCTGAAACAAAAATGAAGGAACAATGACCACTCACACACTCACAGTAACGCCACTTTAGACACAAAAACAGCATGCTCTCTCCATTCCAAACAATCAATACATTTCAGAATGTCCACACACAGTTTGTTTTTTTAGCTGTCCCATAATCAGAAATTCCACTTTGATAATTAAGGTGGTCCCAGAGCCAGACACAAAACAATTAGTGCCACAACAATCTAGGAACAAGTGAGTTTCAAAGAAGTGAATGAAGCAATCTAAATTGTTTAGAAGTATCTATAGTCAATGTGCTTTCTAAGCCACAGACACACGCAGAGAGAGAGAGAAAAGAGGGAGAGAGAGAGAGAGAGAGAGAGAGAGAGAGAGAGAGAGAGAGAGAGAGAGAGAGAGAGAGAGAGAGAGAGCTAGGCAACAGTGGGAGTGGGAAAGAATCCTCTTAAGTCAACTTATGAAGACTACCTTTTTCTAAATCATGTTTTCATTCTAAGCACCTCAGACCCCAGTTATGCAAACAGACACAGGCCACCCCCCCCAGTCTGTATAATACCAATGTTGGAGTTGTAACCAAGATGGAATGACACAACATGTTGAACATCATGGGTACACAGACCCAAAGTTGTCATTATCACTACTGAAAGTTTATAAGGACATGAAGAAAAGTATTTCTACAACATCTAAAAGGAAACAAAAATAAACAAAAGTGTAATTGTATTGACAATGTACTAAGTAAGCCAAACCAAACCAAAGTTAACAGGAAACAACTGTTGTTAAGTGAGGAGATTCTTAGTGCTTTTCTTACAGTTTTCTGATTTTTCTAAGACATTGACACTGGGCTCCATTTTAAACAGCCTGAAATCTGTAAGTAATTCACCCATAGTGTTCTGTGACACATACTTCATGAACTTTCATAACCTAAATAATAAAATGTAAGGTTTACCTTTTGTGCCTTAGAAGCTTGGACATACTAGTGAAGGTCCAGCCACAACTGTCTGAGTCACAAATAAACGGTCTTTCACCTTTTAAAAGAAAAAAATGACACAGCCTAACTATGAGCACAACAGCTACCACAAAGCATGGGTCCACATTGTGGTATGCTCTCCAGCTCATACCTGTATGACTTCGCAGGTGAATTTTCAGCCGACAGGCTTTGTCATATTGTTTATTGCATCCAGGGAAGGAGCAGGAAAAGAGTTCTTGTTCTCTGAAGTGGGCTCGGTTATGGGAAAACAGGGCACTCACTGTGATGAATGTCTTCTCACAGCCTGAATGAGGAAAGCACAAGCTCAGCTCATAAGACAACAAAAGTACACAGTGCAGCTTACACTGTCCACAGCCTGGGGCATGTTCACCATGAGCAGACAAGGAAAGACACAGCTCAGAAACCATCTCTGCAAAGCCCTGTCTACCAATATTTAGCTTTCTAGAAACTACAGTAGGGTTAGCACACACAGGCCACCTGCTGCAGTGCTATGTGGAGATGGCGCAAGTGATTAAGAGGATATCCTCCAAACATATCTTGGCAAGCCAGTTCTGTAGCCAGTTCTGCATAAACCAGGTGTGTCTTCCACAAACTCAGCTGACAATGCTGTCTGAATGAAACCCAGGAAATAAGCAGAATAAAAAGCCCCAAAGATCAGGAGTTAGTCTCGTACAGCTTTGCAGGGCTGCAACAATCTCACTAGCTAAGATTTTCAATCCCACTGGGGAATACCTCATGCCCCACACTTCAAATTCCTCTAACCTCTGCAACTGGCAGCCCCACATCTTATGTGGTTTCTCTTCTTTTACCCATTTCCTCATGTTCTTGTCAACTTTACCTCCATCCTTATAGCCCCACCCCACCCCACCCCATCAACCCAAGCAACCTACACCTCAGCAACTCCATCATCAACACTTCTTTGACAAAAATGCTCTATGCTTAAACAGGGTGGGAAATACAAAGCTGAAAGATGTTTAGGAGCTATCTTTGTTGCAGCTCTTGCCCAGAGTCCCTAAAATGCTATCACTATGACTGTGAAACACTGAACAATCCTGAATAAAAGTAGCTGCCCAGGGAATCTCTGCCCCATCCAAAAGTCTTCTTCCTTAGTTAGCTTCAAACTGTTGCCTTTGCTACTTAGGATGTAACTGATTCAGTTAGTCTGAACACTAGCACTCTGCCTTAGCAACAGTCCTCATTATCCCCAAGCCATAGCCATGCTCTTTCATCCTGCCTCTGTGGATCTTTCACCTGAAGCCCTCCACCATTCCCACTGCCACTTCAGCTCATGTTGTCAAAAGAATCCCTCTTTGACTGGACACTTAAAGGTGCTCCCCTGGACCCTCTCCCAGCTTCCATGGAAGCCCAACTGATCAGCCAACACAAGACCCTCAGGAGCACCTCACGCTTTGAAGTGAATCCCTGTCCTTCCCAGGACAACACACAGACTGACGCTATCTTTCCCAGGGTGAGGCCTGCAGCCACCATTCTCACATCAGGAAATAATGGCAAAAGTTTGGATCAGGCTGTATCAGATAGTCTAGGGGCATGGAACAACACAGTACCAGAAGCTGTTGCTAAACCCTGCATATGTGCACACTCTACAAGGCATGTTGCTAGGAGAACAGTGTGTACACATATTAATGGAAGAGAATAGACTCGATCCCAGAAACTACAGTAGAGAAGACACAAAAACAAATGTGCCACACCCCCCGGGGGTGGCTGCAGAGGCTCACCCTGGTGAAGGAGCATCACTCTGTTTAAGACTGGGAAGGGCAGAGGTCTTATTCAAAGCATGAGGTACCCCTGGGGGCTCTGTATCCGCTAATCCGTGGGGCTTCTACATAGGCTGGAAAGGGACCAGAGAGGCACTAATGTGTAGTCATTCCCTCAGTAATTTAAGGTGGCATATTGGGCCGTATGTGTGTTGAATCCCTGACTCATCTAATATACTTGAGTGGATTGAGAAAAATAAAGTCCCAACTCAACTCTGAGAAGAAGTGGTCGCTTTCAGAGGAAGCATCTTAACAAAGGATTTGTGCGTCCCCCCCCACCCCCCAGGGACAGCTGTGACTATGCATGCCACTTCGCTGTAGGAACCCAAGGCTTCACATCTACCTACCTGAAAGGAACGTGAACCCTAACACGGGAGTGTTTCTTTGCACGCCTCCCACTGAGGCTGGGGCATCCCCGGTAAAACCTGCCCAAACAGCGACCCAGAGCTCGGCCCCTGGTCCAGACGCCATAGGGTCGCGGCCCGCCCCCCGCCCCCGCAGGTCGGCGACTCGCGCTCACCTGGGAAATCACACTTGTAGGGGCGCTCGGGCTCGAAGTGGCTGCGCTGGTGGGAGTTGAGCTTGGCGTGTGTAGGGAAGCGCTCGGCGCACACCTCGCACTTGAACAGACTCTCCTGCTCGTGCCCCTTCATGTGCGCCTTGAGGTTGTACACCGTGGTGAACTTCTTGCCGCAGCCGCCCACCGGGCAGCTAAAGGGTCGCAGCTTGTCGTGCGACTGCAGGTGTCGTTTGAGCTTGTAGGAGGTGGTGAAGGCCCAGCCGCAGCCATCCAGCGGGCACTTGAAGGGCCGCCTGCCCTGGAGGCTGCCGTGCGTCAGCAGGTGCACCTTCAACTGGTGCTTCTTGGCGAAGCTCAGCGCGCACTGAGGCTCGGGACAGCGGTAGACCGGGGAGCCAGCGCTGGTGGCCACCGGCCCGCGGCGGGACACAGAAGCGCTCGAGGGCTCAGGGCCCGCGGTGGTCGCGGGATGCAAGCTCGGGGCGGCTGGCGCGGGCGCGGCGGCCAGCGTGAAGACGCCGCGGTCGAAGCGCACCAGGAGGTCCTGGTTGTGGATGGTGACCGTGCCCGCCAGAGCCGCGCCGGGGGCGGCGGCTGGGACCTGCTCCGGGGGACTCGCGCACGGGCCGGGTTCGGCCTCCTCCTGCCCGTGGGCGGCGGCCGCGCGTGGCACTTCCAGCAGTACCACGAAGGAGTCGCTGCCGTCCTCGGAGGGCGGCGGGCTCGGCCCCGGGGCCTCCTCCTGACGCGGCCCGGGCCCGCCATCTTCCGGGCCCCTCAGCAGCAGCAGGCGGCGGCGCCCGGGGCCCGCACCGAGGGACGGCCCCGCGCCGCGGCGGAGTCGGCTTGTGCCACCGCCATGTTGATCTCCGTGCGCGACCGGGGCGGCCAGAACGGCCGGGATGTCCATCTTAGGCCCAGCTGAAGCGTCCGAGCCGCAGCCTCCGGAGAAGAGCCGCCCGGTCCTGCCAGGCATGCGCGCGACACCAAGGGTCCGCCCCAGCGCCCCTCAGGGAGTCTCTGTCAAAGCTCAGCGTATAGTACAGCCCAGAGTCGCATCTCGAGCTGCGCGTGCGCAAGAGCCGTGGGCGTGGCGCGCGAGGGCTGCCGGGACTGTAGTCACGAGGGAGCCGGGGGGTGGAGCAGAGGCGGGGCCTCCAACTTCTGTGCACTTTGGTTGGAGTCCCAGCTTGAGAAAAGAGGGTCTTCAGCTTTTTTTTTTTTTTGACTCTTCCTTTTGCATCTGAATAGCGCAAAGGAATGACAGCTAATCAAACCTTATTAAGTGTTCCTCGTGCCCTGCGTGCTTTGGAAATATGAGCTAATTCGATCCGTGATCGCCAGGTGTGAGGAAACGGATGTCAAGTTTATCTGGGGCCACAAGGTCGGGAATTTGCAGTCAGACTCTGTACTTTGCTTGTCATCTTCTCTGTGACCTCGCTGAAGTGCACATCTACCTGGACTACAGCCCTGGCTTGCCCCGTAGTAAGTCCTGAAGGGATCCCTGCCTAAACCCCGCAAAGGTGCCTTAACACAGTGTCAGCCTAGTAAGTTGCTGACTGCCTCCCGGACTCTGCTGCTCCGCTTCTCCCATATGTATTTGTCTGGAGCCCCTCCATTTCTGCCACCACCACCTAAATTCAAACCTGTTTCACGCCTAGCTTCACAAATAGGTAAAGGGCCAGCCCTTAGCCTCTGTTCACCCAACTGCCTCCCTCCCTGCCTGTTTCCTGCAGGGCAGCTTTAGTCTTCTGAAAGTGCAAACGCTATTAAAATCTTACCAACCTGCCCTTTGCGCCCACACTGATTTAGCCCCATTTCCCACCCACCTGAAATTAATATGCAAGGCTATGCCCCTCCCCCTATATCTACTCCAAGAGGGATGGAAATATGTCCACATAAATTACATAAATACTCATAGTAGCCTTAGTTACAACTCTCCAGTGGAAATAACCCGATTTTCATCCTCGGATGAATATATGTTGGTACAGCAGGATGTTTTTGAACCATAACATAAACTATTGCAAGTTATAACATGCCCAAACCTATGAAAAACTTGTGAAAGAAGATGTGTTGTAATAAAGCCATGTATGTGAAATTTCCAGAAGAGCTAAATCCATCAGACAACGGACTAGTGGCCCCTGGTGGCTACAGGGAGGTGGGGAATTAGGCCTAGCTTCTAACAATGATGGGTTCTCTGTGGAGCAAAAGGTTTTGCATTGAACAGCACATCTGATATTAAAAAAACTACTAATAACAAACTTAATAAATGACTCTTATGCATGTTTCAATTAAAAAACGTTTAAAAGTCCACACAGAAATAGGTATGTATCAGTTGTTTGTATGAAAGAATATTGCATGTCTGTACATGAGTTTACATACTCTGAAAAAAATTTCTAGAAAGATTCCTGGTGTGACTTCTGTGGGGGGCTGGAGAAAGAGGCTTTGAGTACAGCGTAGGTCCCCTTTGGCACTACTGAGTCTATTGCTAATCAGGTGTGTGTGTGTGTGTGTGTGTGTGTGTGTGTGTGTGTGTGTACTAAGTCTCTGTGTGTGTGTATACTAAGTCTCTCTCTCTCTCTCTCTCTCTGTGTGTGTGTATATACTAAATATGTGTTCTACCATTGAGCATCTTAAAAGGATTACATTTTTATAAATAAACGTGTTCCTGGCTTTTAGGGGAAAAATAGGGTAGGCACCGCCTAAACCAGGTATGTAATTATAATATCACTATATTTCAGTTACACTTATATGAAATAGAACTAAATATATTTTAAATGAATTAAAATGTCAAAATGTACAATTAATTTCCTGGTCACACTAGCCACATCTGAATACTGGATACTCCACATGTGGTATCCATTCTACCAGAAGACAAAGGCTAGCAGTTTGTGCTGACTCTTGTCAGTGCAGGGAAGTTCCTCTACAGGGAAGGGCTGGGGCTCCATATGACATCAGTACACACACAAGGTATGAATGCTCCAGTGCCAACCTCTGCCTGATCCCCTGCTGTGATACTACATAGAGAATAAATAAAGAAAAACCAAGTTATCTCTCAACAGAGATCCAGGCCTCGTGGCTCTGCTGGTCATATTTGGAAACTGATGCTCAGAGGCCCTGGCCCCTCACTGAAAGATGTCTGGCTCCACACCTACTTTTTGACTTAGGAAAATCTTATTTTATGCAAGAAACACAGACCAAGATATCAGAAAGCAAGTTTTGACTTCTGCTATGGCTCAGGTTCTTCAAATGTGTATCGGGAAGTGGTGGGACCTTTAGAGATAGAGCTGGTGGAAGGTCTTGAGTCTTGGGAACATGCCTTGAGGGATTGTAGGACTTGGGTTCAAACTTCCCTTCTTTGCTTCCTGGCTCAGAGTGTAAGCACTCTGTTCTGCCTTATGCTCCCTGCCATTGCCGTTTGGCACTGTTGCCAGAGGCCCAAAACAATATGACTTCTTCATCTTGGGTGGGGACATCCAGAACTGTCAGCCCAAAAACCCTTTGTATGTTAATTGCCTTGGGTATTTGATTATGATAACATTGCAATAAAACATCCTTTTGTTTTGTGACAGATACAACTACATTTTCCCAAGGCTCGGTGTCTCCTTAATAACTGCCTAAATTTCCTGTCTAAATAACTGCGCAGGAAAAAATCATTGATTGTCCATGTTAGTGAAGTAGGACTGTCCACACCCAAATCTCTCGGTCCTGCTCACACAGCAGGGCATCATGGTCTATCCTGGATAGGGGTTTGCTGGAGGACCCTAATATCCTCACTATGGCACCCTGGGAAAGACAGAGTGTTCCTTCTGTCTGGTCCTATGCCAGTATGAGCCAAAGATGGCGGATGCTTTCACAGCAGCACAACTCTGTGGCCAGTGGTCTCAGCAGTCTTTTTTTCCTTTTCTCTCATCTACCTTTGGGTTTTCCTCTTAGCTCTGGCTCAGCTTAGAGGACCACAAGCCTTTGGTACCCACAGCAGGAGAGCTGGCCTGGTAAAGACTGAAGAGAGAGCACAGAGCAACAGGATAGTAGGAAGGCCCTGCAAGCTGAGGGTTGGTGGGTAGGAGGCACTATAAAGTAGTAGCAAACTCCAGAGGAAGGTCCAAGGAAGCATAGCTAGCTGATTCTCTTTGCCAGGACCCCTGCTCCAGAGGCAAGCCTGGTATAGATCTGGTTGGTTGGCCTAGGAACCGTGTAAGATCCCACTTTAGGTCAATGCAGCTCCTGTAGAATTCCAGATCCCAAACAGACACCCAGGAATCTCAGCAGGTGGTTGGTTCTATTTTTCAGGTTCACACAACTCCCCTGGAAAGTGTCTCCTCTCCACATGTCTCAGCACCTGGCCACTTTGCCACAGACACCACACTAGCCCTGTTTATGCTTCTACTTTATTCTTTATTTCCTGTCTATTCTCCTCCCGTACTCCCTCAGCATCAAGGACCCGGTGTGGGCACTTTGTGTACCCATGCTGGGTTCTCTGAGGAACCAGAAGTGATGGCATAGACAAGGGGTGGCAGGATAGCTAGGAGGGCAGCGTGGGGATGGTGGTGGACAGGAGACTGAATAACACTTCAACAAGGTCACAGAGAATCCTGGGAGATGGTGCCAGCTTGGCCAGCATTCGAGGTTCCTTCCCATCCAAGCTGGAGTCCACTTTACTGCGGGCTTAAGGACCCGCCCACAAACAAGATGTGCCCTACCCTCTCAGGGCTCTCAATCCAGTGGTCAAAGGCAAGTGCTTCCACCTTGATGGCCCTTGTGGTTCACTGTGTGGGACACTAGGGGAGCTATGTGGGGGTGCAGTGTGGGAGGAGGGTGGTGACCTGAGAGGGTCGGGCAGTGGGAAGAAGGGGATCAAGAGGACCCCAGCTCTTCTCAGAGCTGCAGGGCCTGCTGTATCACTTGTTCATCTGCCACCTCATGGGGAAGTGTCACCACCAGGCCACCGTTCTCCTGCATTGTCTGGCAGATGATCTCATAGGCCTTAGGATTCCCAGACCAGCAGCGCCGTGCCACCTGCAGAAGCCAAGCACACAGCATTGGTATCAACATCACTGGGCTCTTCGCATGGTGTCCTGGTTCCCAAACTCTATGTCCTCTTCAACCTGGGGATTTCAGAGCCTTCTTTGCATCTACCAGATTGAGAATCTCTCTGTCTTACCTGGAGCATGTAGCTGACTTAGCCTCTTTTTGACTTGAAACCAGTTATTTTTGTACCCAGACCTACGCCATCTCTAAGAATGAACTAGATAGAGCAGATTCATCCCTAACACCCGTCCTTTCCCATTCAGAATCCCCATCATCAGCTATACGATCCCTCCCTAGCCCACTTCCTCTCTTATACCTGCTCTGTCCTAAATGGTGACCATGACACCTCTCCACCTAGCAACCACCCCTCATCTCCGATCCTCCCCTGGCATATATCCACACGACTGATAGTGAGGTCTCCTGGGAGGAAACCCCACCATGGCTCACTCTAAATCCTAGTATCAGGATGTAGACCCCTTCCTGCTGAAGTGCTGACTTTTAGTGGCTCCTGGTGAGTGGCCCTGCCAGAGGATCCCCCCTTCCTCCCTGCCTCAGGGTATAACCTCAGTCATCCAGAGCTACTGTTTTCACTCTGGTCCTTTTCTCTGGAATCCCTCCTTGGTTTGCTCACACCCTGTATACCTTTCCTCATCATTACCTGACCTCCAACCTCGGGTTGACCCATCTCGGATGCCTGTGATGTGGTTTGAGAGAGGGATCCGTCCCCTTTCCCTCTCAGGATGTTGTATTACTACAAAGATGGGTCCTGCAGGATAAAGGGCCCATCTAGCTTCTGAAATGTGCTCTTTGGCTGCCTTCGAAGGTGGCAGTGAGGGCTGGTGTAGCTGGGGAATAGCACCTGCCTGACATGGGCAAAGGCCACCCTGCACAGCAAAAAGGAACAGCAACACAAAACAGGAAAAGATGAGCCTTAAAAGGGAGATCTTGAGGCCAGGGCACAGCAAAATGACAGAGGTCAACATGCCTGAAGCCTTGGCTTCCATCCCAGCCCCAAAGAGTGAGGCCTCAACACCAGTGCAGGGGTGCTTCAGGAGGA